GCCCGGCCCCTTCTGCAATATCAACACCAGGACCCTGCCCTGGATCCCCCCTGCCCGGACGGCGGCTACGTCGCAACCCAGGGGCCGCTGCCCCACACCGTCGCCGATTTCTGGGCAGCCATGCGCGCCGCCCGCTGCAGCGCCGTGGTCATGCTCACCCAGTTTGAAGACTTCGGGCGCCCAAAGTGAGGGCCGGGCTGCGCTTGTGCGCTGACATACCGTAGTATCCCGCCCTATCTAGCGGCTGCAGGTGGACCCATTATCGCGGGACCCGGGGCCGCCCGGCGCGCCCTTCCGGACTGCCGTCTGCGGCCTGCAGGGGCCGCGGGCCGCTCCCCGCCCTTACCCCACTTGCAACGAGCCCCCCCCCCCCAACATGTTTGCCCCATCTTGACCCTTCCACGGACACGCTGTGCCCCCAACACAATAGTTAAAAGGCGTGTCCTGATCCTACCCTCACTCCTCTGACTTCCACAGGTGTGCGCCCTATTTTCCAGATGGCGAGGGGGAGGTGCTGGACCTGCCCTCGGCGCGCCTTAGCGTCACGTGTGTCCACCGCGCACAGGTGGGCGGTGTGGGTGTTTGTGGACACACGCGCGTTGATGGGTCGTTGAGGCACTGTCTGTATACGCGTGCATCTGGAGGGTTCGAGGGACGAAATTGCGAGGATCGCGTGCTTGGGCGCTTGCACTTCAAGCGGAGGCCCGGGGCGCTGGCCAGGTGGCATGGGCACCTGAGCCGCACCGAAGAGGCCCCTCTCCCCCCTTTGTGACGTGACCGGCCCTCTTTTTAGCCCAAACGCTGTTCACAACCGTGAAGTTGCGTCCTGTCGACATCCAATGCTGACTGTTCAGACTCTCAGCTGTCTTGCAGCTGCACGCGTCCTCCACCACCGCCAACCACCGTTGGACCGCCCACCGCCATCCGACCGCCAACTGCAAACCGCCGCCCGCAGCTGGCGCGGGACGTGGTGATCCGCCAGCTGGAGCTGTCATACCCTTCGGAGCCGGGCGGCACATCCCTCCAATGGGTGAGCCAGCACCGCCGCCGCGGCCTGCACCGCAGCGGCGACCCGTGGTGCTGCGTCCCCCCTTGCTTGGTGCACGCGCCTGTTGCACGCACCCCGTCCGGCGCGCGGCAGCTTCCCGTTGTGTTGCTGCTGCCCCCACATGGCTGCCATCAGACTCTGCGCGCGGCCTTGTTTTCACCACCGGGATGCCGTCTGGACGACACCCTCCAACATAAGGGCAACATGCACACAGTTTTGTCTCATAGCTTGTCGATGGTCCGGCACACAAACCTATGTTCGGAGCTACCCTTTGTTGAACACACAACCAACCACCAAATCCTGCCGTAACCGTCCCCAAACCCAGATCAACCATTACCACTACACCGCCTGGCCCGACCACGGCGTCCCGGCCTCCACCACCGCTGTCCGCCGCCTCTGCCACTCCCTCGATGACTGCCGCCGCGCCGGCTGCCGCGTCGCCGTGCACTGCTCCGCCGGCGTCGGCCGCACCGGCGCGTTCGTCGCCATAGATATGCTGCTGCAGCGCCTGCACCGCCTGCGCGTGCGCCCGCCGGGCGCGGTCGCGGCGG